GCAGGTGGTGAACCCCTGCCGGAACTTGATCCTCTCTTCGAGTCTCCTGGAAATTCTCCTGGGTGATTTTATCCTTTCTGGCTTCAGTGGCACTGGCACCTGATGAGCCCTCCTGAGCCCAGGTGGGTCTGGCTCTCTGCGCAGCATCACACAGATGTCCTCAGGCGCCTCTGGTGACATGTGGATGATTGAATTCATTCCCTTGAATCTGCCTCCTCTTAACTGCCCTCTCCCTAGCTGTTACCTGCTCACCACATTCCATCAATGTCCATACTTCCCCCTCCTCTTGTTACCATGTCCCCAATCCATTCACTTCTCTCAGGCCTCACTATCACTCCTGTGGGCCGTTTATCTGTATAAATGCACAGCCTCATCCCCTTGGATCCATTCTGCTGCCTAAAGAATTGTTTGGAAACATTTTGTCCTTTGTGCAGTGCCCAAACCCTTTAAAATCTGACCTGATTAACTTGGTAACAGTTTTCCTCTGGGAAATCCCATGGACAGAGGGGCCTGGCAGGCTACAGTCAGTGGGGTCATGAGAGTCGAACACCATTTAGTGACTAAACCACCGCCACGACATCATTCCTCGGATGTCCTCCTCCCTGCCTAAACAGAAACCCAAGTTCTGGTCAAATCAAAATAATCCCCCAGAAGTGCCTTCCTCTCCAGCTATGATCCTATCTGTTGCCTCAGGGCTTTTGCATGTGACAGGTGTCCTATGCTACGGGCCAGGGTCTATGCCAGGCACCACCAAAGATCTCTGGACAGACAAAACAGTCCCCGGCCCCCCGATTTTACCATTGGGTTGAAAAAAGCCTTCCTGGGTGCCAGAGTAGGTGCCCTTTGTTGGAGATTCTTTAAGACCCTGGAATGTTCTAACCATGGCACCGACCAAAGTTGCTGTAATTTCTTGGTGACTTGTCCCTCTTTCCCTCTAGATTATCATTTCTGTTTTCGGCTGTGCCGGGCCTTCACTGCTGTGCTGCCCCCAGCTGGGCTGAGTGGGCCCCTCTAGTGGCCGTGTGCAGGCTTCTCAGTGCCGTGGCTCCTCTGGTTGCTGAGCACAGGCTCAGCTGCTGCAGCACAAGGGAGCCCCCACACACGGGAAACCCCCTGGGCCAGGGGTCACACCCATGTCTCCTGCACCATCACTGGGTCACCAGTGAAGTCCAGAACACAGGTCTTACTGACCATTGGATTTCCCAGCATAAAGCATACTTAAATGCTGAGTAAATAATGGATGAATGGTGATTCAAATGGGCAGAAGTCAGTTGGGAATTTTTCACAGTGAAATTAAAGATTGTTTGACATGACACATGCAGGATAAGTGGAAGGAAAAAAGTATGATTGTGAGGCGTGAAGAGGTCTGTTTTCAAAGCTGCTTACTAAGTCACTGGATTAGAAATAACACAGTTTGAGAATAGATGGGAACATACCTAGTTTTCTCATATTTCTTGACAGCCTCCTGGCTTTAAGAAAAGGCCAAAAAAATTTTGAAAAGCAAATCTGGCAGACATTGAAGTAGCATTTATAAGATTATAAAAAGCAACCAAGAGTCATTCCAAACTATTTTGTCCTTTTGTTAAAATCTTGTCAAATGTGGGGTGAATTATGTGGAGTCATCACTTGAATCTGCTGTTCTCTGGGCAGTTCAAACTGACTGGTGGCTTAGAAAGGACAGGATTTTTTTTTTTTTAACCTATCCTTAGAGCAAGAAGAACTTTACACAGCAGTCCAGAGTTGCACCTCGTACAGAACTTGGAAGACTTGAAATCTAACCTACTTTAATAGATGACTCATTTCAAAATTCACTTTATATTCAGGAAAAGTTACTAGCTAAAATGACCGTGTCTTCACTAAATATTTGATGACAAAAGATGTTACAAATTTTCTTTAACTTCCTAGGTGCTACATTAGATATTCAGCAAGCTCAATTTAAATAATAATTACTACTAATATTTTGAGTGACTGTAGGCTCCGTCATAGACATTGTTTGTCATGTACTGGCTGCCTGATCTTGGGTACTTCATTACTTAGAAATACTTTCTTAACCTTGGGTTCTCATGAGTAAAATGGAGAAAAAGTAAAATGATACAATCATTTGCTTATATGCTTTCTCTCCTGATAGACCAGGAGTTTTCTTGATACAGAGCTAGATCTTATTTTTCTTTGGATCCTCATTGTCTACTCTGGCTTGTGAATGGCAGATAGTACATATTTATTTAACTGAAATCAGGGCAAATGGACCTGTTAACTTGGCCTGAACTAAAATATTCTAACACCTGACAAAGGTGGCTTTCCTTTCTGGGCTAGGCCTTATAGTGATTCTTTTAATTAAATAGAGACAGAAGTTTCAGGATGGGATAAAGAAGTCAGCCAAAATGTTTTTACTACCCCCTTTATTTTACCAAAGAGAGCGCCAAGCAAAATTTAGATATTTCTGTTAATCTTCTCAGGTCTCTGTTAAACTTGAGATTTTTCCCTAATGCCCTTGGACCCAGAGTTTCCTTGATTTTGAGAGTAGACACAGGTATTTATTTTAGGCTCACACCAAACTTGCATAGAGTAGAGGAGGTGGAAGGGGAGGTGTCCTAATGTTCAATTTCCTTGCAGAGAAATTGTTGGCCCATGGTCCTTTCATTTGGGCTTGTGAGGAGCAGGAGGGTGGCGTGTATTTCTCCTGTTTGTCAGTAGAAAACACAGAATGGCCAGCCAGTCTGCTTTCTAAATAAAGAAGGACTTTGAACTGGAAACATAAATGCAGGATTTACAGTCTCTTTCTTTTGCCACTTGAAAGTTCTCTTCTGCAAAAGGGCATACAGATTTTGCTGTGCTCAAGAAAAATAGAATTAATATTCTACCTGTTTCCTATGAAAAAAGAAAACTCAGTCCCTGTGAAGCCTGTCGCTGGTGGGGTTAACTGTCAGGATGCATGCGGAGGGGAGGAAGCTGAAAGCACTGACTCCTGTGGGTGGGCGCGGGGTGGGGCTGTCACTCAGCTCAATGGGTTCTTCCTGTGGGACGCCCGGCAGGCGCCACAGCCTTCCACACCACATCTTCAGGATCCATCGCGTCTTGTCTTCCCTGTGCGTCTCACATTCACCACAGCTCCTGGGAGAGGCTCTGGATTGTCCGGTGTTGGAGAGTCCCCAAAGGCAAGAGGCCATCCGCGGGGGACTTGAGCTTCATCAAATCAGCGTGTTGGGGCTGGCAAGGCTGGTTTTCATTCTCCATGTTTGGGCAAGCCAGTCCTTTTCTGCAGAAGATCTACCTAAAGCCACTCTCCAAGGGAGTCTACTACCTGGAGGACACCTAAAACTCATGGGTTTAAAAAAAAAAAAAAAAAGCTCATGGGTTTCTTTTCAGGGCTGACAACGTGCCTCAACTCTGATCCCTTTAAGAGAGATTTATAAGAGCTGAGATAAATGATATCTTCTGTTGGAGTTCTGGCCTAATCCTACAAGTCTTTTGACTGATTTTAAGAATCACCAGTAAAAAAAAAAAATCACCAGTAATCAGGTGTTCCCTTATTTTAGCTTATCTTATGCTCTGTTTAAATACTGTGTCATAACATAAAGGACATAAACCTGCATTTGTGTAATGTTTGTACAGCTCTGGATGTTTTATCATTGAATTCTTGAAGCTGTGAGGAAGGCAGCATGTTACCAGAGGGTATTAACAGGCACAGAACTGTGAGGCGCGTTGTTCTCAATCACCTGAATTAGTGGTTAAAATGTGTTCGGGCTTATCTTCCTGGTTTGTACCTAAGCCATGTGAGCCACGGATCATGCTTCGTCATGATGCTTTGAGGACAGTAAGTAAGTATCTTATCTTGACAGGATGCATGGTTAAAAACTTGACGGTCTCTGGTAGGAGAGGAACACAGCACTGCTTTTTTATTTTTTTATTTTTTACTATTTTTGTTCATTGCTATATCCCCAGTGCCTAGAATAGTTTCTGGCACAAGATGGACACCTCAATAAAAGCTAAATGAGTTCATTAAAGAGACATAGGTTCCACACAAAAATGTATGGGGTTGGACAGAAAAGGCTGCTATTAGTAAATAATAATAACAGAGGGAACTTATTAATAGGTTCCCAGGGGTGCTAATCAATATGAAATACTTCTCATAGTAAAGGTGACATCTCAATTATATTATACCCTTTTCCCTCTGCTATCACTTCCCCAAGCAAAGATACTCAGATCAACTCCTTCCTCAGAGTGACTTAAGATATGTGATAAACATTATTCCAGGAAATATCTAAGACAGCCCTGCAAACATCAGCTCTAGATCCACAGTATGCCTGGAAGACTCCTATCATAAATAATATACTCTGACTTTAAAACAGTTTATGATGAAAAATTTTTAGTTTATTCCATGTTGAAAAGGACTTGGCAGATACACTCTCAAGTCAGGAAAAAGCATCTCCCTTAACCAATTGTCAAAGGGGTCTGAAAAAGTGACAGTCGCGCTCGCTTCTGTCGGACTCTGCGACCCCTCGAAGTGTACAGTCCATGGAAATCTCCAGGCCAGAATGCTAGAGTGGGTAGCCTTTGCCTTCTTCACGGATCTTCCCAACCCAGGGGCCAGGTGTCCGGAATGGCAGGTGGATTCTTTACCAGCTGAGCCACAAGGGACGCCCAGGAATACTAGTGTGGGTAGCCTATCCCTTCCTCAGCGGATCTTCCCAACCCAGGAGTCGGACCAGGGTCTCCTGCATTACAGGTGGATTCTTTACCAACTGAGCTACGAGGGAAGCCCTCGGTGGGGGCGTGGGAGTTGGGGGGGGGCGGGGGGGGGCTCTGGGTTGGTTTAATTGCAGATAATATTCAGGGAGCTCTTTCACCTAACTTGTCTCAGTGATGAGTTTTTCAAGGATGGACTTGTCAACTACAGACTGCTGTTTTAAGTGTCTGTAAGCTGGTCTTTCGGGCAGTGGTGGCGTGTCACCATGGAACAAAAGTAGCAGGTGAGCTCATCTGAAGACGATTTAGAGGCATCAGCTGCTCCACAGGGGAAATTCCATCTCCGCCCCACAGGGGTCAAGGCGGCTGAGCTGGCTTTGTGAGAAGCAGTTGTCAGCAAAGGGTGTATCCCGCAGTATTTTTACAAGTACCTCTTCCTGCCTTCTCCCTACATCCACCGACTCCTGCGCTGCCCTTGGCCCAGTGATCCCGCTCGCAGAGGAAGACGCCGGCCTGATCGAGTCAGGAGGAGGGAGAGGACCACTGGCGGCGCGCTCGGGGTCCCCGCCGGGGCTGGGGCGTCGGACCCGGGATAGGAAGCGATCCGCGGCCTGCGGGGGCTGGGTGATGCGCAGCGCCGGGAGAATCCTGTGGAGGCGGAGGCGGAGGCGGAGGCGGAGGCGAAGGGGCGCTCTGGCGCCACCTGGTGGCCGCGTCTCTGCCGGCGGCCAAAGCACTCGGCCATGCCCTGTCCGGGCCCAGTGGTCCTCGTGGGGAGTTGTGCCACCGCTAGCCGGCGACCTGGAGTAAATCGCCGCGGAGCCTCTGGGCTCGGGCCCTCGGCGTCCCCTTGCACGGAAATGCGACTCCATAATGTATGTGCCGTGCTTAGTCGCTCAGTCGTGTCCGACTCTATGTGACCCCACGGACTGCAGCCCGCCAGGCTCCTCTGCCCATGGGATTCTCCAGGCAGGAATGCTGGAGTGGGTTGCCATGCCCTCCTCTAGCGGATCTTCCCGACCCAGGAATGGAACCAGGGTCTCCTGCATTGCGGGCGGGTTCTTTACCATCTCAGCTACCAGGGAAGCCCTCCATAAGTTATAGCAATCACCAAGAGCGAAAGGAAAATGCTAGGACATTTAGACAGGGAAGAGTTCATCCTGGAAAATGTACCAGGATGACATTTGGTCAAGTCTTGTTTTAGATCCCCATAAGTTAAAATTTTATATGGGAACATGCCAAATGAATAAGATGAGACAGGGATTTTCTTAAACTCCCAATTCTGTATAATCAATGTGCCAAAACATAGATTTTAGAGTCAGAGACCTGGGCTTGAGTCCCAGATCTTCCACTTACTAGGGACTTTATCTTCTGTGAGGCTCAATTGCCTCAAGGGTGTGAAAAGAGACAAAGATGGACACTCATTTCTTTTTTAAAAATTATTTATGTGGCTGTTCCAGTCTTAGTTGTGGCACTCAGAATCTTTAGTTGCAGCAAACTCCTAGGTCCCTTATCAGGTATCAAACCTGGGTCCCCTGCATTGGGACTATGGAGTCTTAGCCACTGGACCACCAGGGAGGTCCCTCAGTTGCCTCCTATCCAAAAAGGATGATAGTGTCTTCCCAAAAGGAGAATTTAGAAAGAGAATTAAAACTACGATGTCTGTGCTCATACTATTGCCTTCCCCCTCTTCCTGGAGGTAAACTGTCCACACCGCTCTGATGTGCATTTCTCTGGATCACTCGTGGACCTTACCCAGCAGGACTTCTGCGTCCTCAGTTTCCCCTCTCCACTCCTTAACTTGATTGGCACACAGACATGGTATAATTTCTCTCATCTTACAAAAAATCTGACTCCTCATGCCCTGTAGCCAGCTCCCCATTTTTCTTCTCACATTTGTATCATAGAAAAACATCTCTCAAGTGCTGTCCTTGCCCACTGCCTCTGCTTCTGTTCTGGTGACTATCAGACTTCTTCCCCTGGCCCATTCACCAAGGCTGCTCTTGCCAAGGAAAGCAGTGGCCTCCTCCTGCCGAAGCCTGGTGTTGGTCCTCAGGCTTTATCTCCGCTGCCCACCGACAGCCTCTGACGCGCTCATTCCCTCCTCCCGGCCGTGAGACGCTGCACCAGCAGTTTCCCAGCCTCTAGGGCTCAGCTCTTGGATGTCTTCTCTAGCTATACGAACTTCACTGATGCCATCCAGTCTCAAGCCGGAAAACGCCATCTATATATTCTGAACTTGAGTAGCATCACCAGCCTGGACTTCACCCCTGACCTTTTTTTTTTAAATTTTTGGCCACACCCTGTGGTATGTGGGAGCTAGTTTCTCGACCCTGTGTAGAACCCATGCTCCTTGAGTTGGAAGGTGGTGTCTTAACCACTGGACTCTGGGGAAGTCCCTGACCTGAACTTTTGACCCTCCTTCCAGGTCTGTTCTCTTTGGGATCATCTCTACTCTGGTTAGTAGTTTCTTCGGCCATCTGATTGCTTAGGCCAAACATTTTGGAGCCATTCTTGAGCCCTCTTTTTCTCTCACCCCTCACATCCCATCTGTCAGGAAATCCTATTGACTCTCTCTTCCTAGTTTATGCAGAACCCATCATTTCTCACCCCATCAGCTATCACTGTGGTCCTTTCTCCAAAGCCCATATGTATATTATATATTTTGTTTCTTATTTATCTATTTAATGCTCATCTCCTCCACAAAAATGCAAACTCTGTGAGGTCTGGCTTCCCCTTGCACCTTAGTTTTATTCATTACTATATCCCCACGGTTTCAAACCTGATTTTTTGTGTGCGCAGTCACTCAATCACGTCTGACTCTGTGAACCCATGGACTGTAGCCCACCAGGTTCCTCTGTCCATGGGATTCTCCAGGCAAGAACACTGGAGTGGGTTGCCATTTCCTTCTCCAGGGGATCTTCCCGACCCAGGGATAGATTGTGTCTCTTGTGTCTTCTGCATTGGCAGGTGGATTCTTTACACTATACCACCTGGGAAGCCCTCAAGCCTAATTGGTCCTCAATAAATATTTGCAAATGAGTGAATGAACAAAGCCATTGGCAAATGGCAAGTGTTTAATAACTGAATAAATGGTGGTAGCAATAGTGATTTAGTCAGAGTCGTGTCTGACTCTTGGGACCCCGTGGACGTAGCCCACCAGGCCCCTCTGTCCATAGGATTTCCCAGGTAAGAATACTGGAGTGGGTTGCCATTTCTTTCTCCAGGGGATCTTCCTGACCCAAGGATGGAACCCAGGTTTCCTGCATTGTAGCTGGATTTTTTGCCAACTGAACCACCAGGGCTCTAAATGGATAAATGGTAGCTATTATTTTACATTAGCCTTCTTAGGTGTCTAATGTGAACAGGAAATTAAAAGAACAAAATGCACTCTGAAGGAGCCATCAGACACATCTAGAGATGGGATATTTTACTTGACCAGTTTCTTCAAATAGTCAATATCTTTAAGAAAGAGGCTGGTTGGAGGTGGGAAAGTCCTGGATGAAAATATATTTAAGAATTATCATATGTGAAATAGGTCACCTGTCCAGGTTCGATGCATGGGACAGGGTGCTCAGGGCTGGTGCACTGGGATGACCCAGAGGGATGGGATGGGGAGGGAGGTGGGAGGGGGGTTCAGGATGGGGAACACATGTAAATCCATGGCTGATTCATGTCAGTGTATGGCAAAAATCACCACAATATTGTAAAGTAATTAGCCTCCAATTAAAATTAAAAAAATATATATATATATATTTTTAAGAGATGGAATTCCCTGGTAGTCCAGTGATTAGGACTCTGTGCTTCCACTGCAGCGGGGAGGAGTTCAATCTCGGATCCCACAGGAGTGTGGCACAGTCAAAACAAAGAAAAAGAAAGAAAAGAGATAAAATACCAAATACATTGTATGGTCCTTGATTATTTGAACAAAACAGCTTTAAAAGAAAATGTACTATTTGGAGAAATTTGAATATGAACTGGATATTTGACAATTTTGAAAATTATTTTTATTAGCTGTTTTAATATATTATTGGGATTATTATGATAACCATTTCATTTTATATAAATCTACATATATATCCATATATATGAAATTTAAGTTTTAGAGGTGAAATAGGATGTTTATAATTTACTTCAGCAACAAGAGAAATAGATGAAGCAAAGTTGGCACAATGTTAATTGTGAAATTGAAGCAGGGCACACGTGAGTGTCTGTTACACTATTTTCTCTATTCTCTCTGTACATTTGAAAATGTTAATAATAATGGACTTCCCTGGTGGTCCATGGTTAAGAATTTGCTTTGCAATACAGGGGATGCAAGTTTGATCCCTGCTTGGGAAACTAAGCTCCCACATCCCAGGGGCAACTAAGCCTGCGCCCTGCAACTAGAGAAAGCCCAGCACTAGTTATCGTGATAACTAGTGGCAGCAGGACTCTGATGGTGTTATTGATTCAAAGTCACCTGGGCCTGGACTCCTGGCAAGGGCCCCACAGCTTACCTGCCAGGGCTGTGCAAAGATGCATCGCAGCAGCTTGGCAAGCTCAGCACCACCTCCACGCCAATTCCAAAGGAAGCCAGCTGCTGCTGGGAGGCAGGCAGCCCTCAATCAGCTCAGCTGTTGTAGCAAAATGCCTTTGGTGCCTGGCCAAACCGGAGTCGGGAGCATCTCCGACACCATGTGTCTGGTTTCCAGGAGCACAGATTTATGGCTTTGGGATTTGGAAGGTGGAAATATTTCTTAAATCCAAGTCAAAGGTCTGCTTGGACAACCCTCTAAAGCTAAACAGAGCTGGGCAAAAATATCTCCTTGTGTGACTCTTCTTTTTTGGCCAGGTGGCGCATTAGCTCCAAAACCAAGGATACAACTCGTGTCCCCTGTTGTCTAAGTGCAGAATCCTAACCACTGCACCACCAGGAAAGTCCCATCCCTGTGTGCAGTTTAAATGTGATAACTCCATGAGTGCATGCTAAGCAGCTTCAGTCGTGTGGCCCCAAGCTTGACTCTTTGTGACCCCATGGATAGTAGCCTGACAGACTCCTGTCCATGGAATTCTCCAGGCAAGGATACTGGAGTGGGTTGCCATGCCCTCCTCCAGGAGATCTTCCCGACCTGTTCTGCTGTGACTAATAAGTCCAGATCGCACTATAGTGCATGGGGAATGTGTGGCTTCCCAGGCGGGGGTGGATGCTGGCTACTGAAGGCCTGGGGGTCTTTCTCTCATCCTGCGGGTCTCCCTCTTGAGTGGGCTCCACTTTCAGGCAGATGCTACCTTGTGGTCACAGCACAGCTGTGGTAGCTTTAGATTTGCATCTTTCCAACATCAGCTCTAGTGGGAACGATTTCTGGTCCATGATTGCTGGCAAAATGTTCTTTGTATCTTCTTGGCTCACACACTCCCCTCAAAACCAAAGCTGGGGTGAGAAGGATAGAGCAGCTGATCTGTTCGTGTTCCCTGAGATGGAGGTGGGAACCGAGCACATGGATTAGGAGGAGAGGTGGTTTCTGAGAGGTAATTTGATGCCTGTTTAACGGAAGAGGGAAATAGATGGAGCATAACCAGAAAATCATTTGTGCTCTGGCCTCCCCCTCTCAGAAAGGATTATCAATGTTGCAGGAAGAAGTATCCTTTGGTTGAAGAAAGCTGCTCTAGTTAAACCCAGATTTTGGTTCTGAGGTTCCTGGCAGCCAGAGCAAAAAGGGACAGGTTAACTCATCAGGATTTAACAGCAAGTTAGGATCAACAACTCTGATGATAAAACTTTCCTGAGGGTCCAATGCTCAGTTAAAACTGTGTTCTTCCACTCTTTTCTCTCTCCACCTCCAATATTTCTTACTGTTTCACTTTTTTGGGGGGGGGGGCACATTGTGCA